CTCCCTAACCATTCCAGTCCCCAAACTGGACTGAACCTTAGAATTGATAGTGAACTTAGAACTGATACTGTATGCTATCTGACTCATTAAACCTGGTGTTTAATCATGTACTTTGTGTGTCATGATTTAACCAAATATCACCCAAGCTGTGTTTCATGGAACACTTACCACTTAAGATAATACTGCATGGTATTCCGTGAAAAAGGGGTTCCATGGGTAAATAAACTTAAGGGGCATTGGTTGAATGGGTTTCATTTTTACAGGATTTTCCAAAGCCTCTAATGAGATAATGGGACTTGTAAATTCTTAAAATGAGGTTCTAGGATACAGCCTTCTCCCTTTGATCATGAATTTCTTTTCAAAGACTACAATTTGAGAATCATGCTCATGACCCTTGTAGAAGTCCTATGAGGTAGTGAATTTAGTTTGATCTGATACTCTGTGTTCAAAGTATAAAACACAGCGCACAGAGTTCTGCAGCATCAGTGTGAAAAGCTTGGCCTGGGGAAAGAAGTAGGGGGAAGGCTTTACGGAAACCTGGATATATGAGTTGGGCCTTAAAAGATGAAGAGAGGTTTGCCAGCAGGGAAAGAAGTGAGAGGATAAGGAAGAGTGTCCCGGAGAAAGGAAATGACATGAACAGGAGCACAGAGGCTGGGAGATGGTCAGAGAAAGGAGAGTCCGTTTTAGAAATGGGAATCCCGCAGACCCACTTGAATTCCGCCTGCCAAGCTGTATCCCAGTCCCCTCCGGCATCCCTTGGGAAGAGTGGGCACCCCTCCCTGCTCTACTCCACGACTGAAGGCCCCTGGAGGGCAGGAACCATGTCTTATGAATCATTTCAGCCCCCTTCCCTCTACGCGGTTTGGGACACAGTTCACATACACGTGAGGCCACACAGCCCTCTTCGTCTGAGATTTCCCCTCTGAAAATGAGAAAATACAATCCTCCCAGGATGGTTATAATGTTTAAATTTTGAAAATGTGGATAAAACATTTAGCACAGTGCCTGACATACAGTCCACGCGTAAGAAATGCTAGCTGTGAATGTCATTTGCTTAATAAATGTTTGTGGAAGGAAGAAGGGAAGGAGGGAAGGCGGGAGACTGCTGGCAGAAGAAAGAAGGTCAGCTACCCCATTTCACGGCCCCACTTCACTAGCGAGCTGAAAGGTAAATGCCCTTTACCCTGCATTTCAGGAACAATCTCCCTTGGCCTCGTTTCTCCAAGTGGCTGTTTTGGAGGCCCTGAAGTGAGTTGCTGGGTCCAATGCCAGCCCATGCTGCCAGGGCAGGGGGTCAGGGGGAGATCATCCTGAACACCAGGGGACCACAAGGAACGGAGGGTTCTTTCGGGGGAGGACATCCCAGCCACTCCTCACGGCGAGGCCAGGCCCTGTGAGGCCCAGGGGCTGCAGGGAAGCACCCTGGAGGGTTTACTCTTGGCATTGGCCCGTGAGTTCCCGGGATCTGATGAGAAGCCACAGGAAGGAACAGAGAGAGCCTGGCCTCCTCGTCAGGGGGACTGTGTACCTCATAAATTATAGTTTTATGATAAAATGCATGACATGGAGAGGCCAGGGACCCAAAGATATGGGCTGGATCTGTAAAGACAATGAATTCCAGGGTAGTTTTAAGCCCAGCCCTGACTGCCTCTGAGGAGACATGAGGATAAAGAGAGGGAACAGGCCATATCTGAGGACTGGCCTCTTCCCCCACTGTGCCACGTGAGCCAGGCACGTGGCCAACAGATGGGACGTGAGACAGGGAAGGAGGAGGCAGCTGGGGAAGAGGAGAAAACACCCCGACAGGCCCATACCGGTACGGGGTCAAGGGTGGCCAGCTTTTCTTAGAAACAGTATTTTTGGAGATGCTTTGCTCCCAGGGCAGAGAGGCCCGACACCGACTCGTCAAAGGAGATGTAAAGCTTCTCCTTGTACGACATTGGCCATCCCCAGGGCTCCATGGGACTGTGTTGCATCCTACCCAGGAAGATGGGACCGTCATCCAAATGCCCTGACTTTACCTCTAGTTTTTGCATGGAGAGGAAACTGTCAAACTCTTAGAGGAAAACATAGGCAGAACACTCTATGACATAAATCACAGCCAGATCCTTTTTGACCCACCTCCTAGAGAAATGGAAATAAAAACAAAAATAAACAAATGGGACCTAATGAAACTTAAAAGCTTTTGCACAGCAAAGGAAACCATAAACAAGACGAAAAGACAGCCCTCAGAATGGGAGAAAATATTTGCAAACGAAGCAACTGACAAAGGATTTATCTCCAAAATTTACAAGCAGCTCATGCAGTTCAATAACAAAAAAACAAACAACCCAATCCAAAAATGGGCAGAAGACCTAAATAGACATTTCTCCAAAGAAGACATAGACTTCCAACAAACACATGAAAGAATGCTCAACACCATTAATCATTAGAGAAATGCAAATCAAAACTACAATGAGATATCATCTCACACCGGTCAGAATGGCCATCATGAAAAAATCTAGAAACAATAAATGCTGGAGAGGGTGTGGAGAAAAGGGAACCCTCTTGCACTGTTGGTGGGAATGTAAATTGATACAGCCACTATGGAGAACAGTATGGAGGTTCCTTAAAGAACTACAAATAGAACTACCATATGACCCAGCAATCCCACTACTGGGCATATACCCTGAGAAAACCATAATTCAAAAAGAGTCAGGTACCACAATGTTCATTGCAGCTCTATTTACAATAGCCAGGAGATGGAAACAACCTAAGTGTCCATCATCGGATGAATGGATAAAGAAGATGTGGCACATATATACAATGGAATATTACTCAGCCATAAAAAAGAAACGAAATTGAGCTATTTGTAATGAGGTGGACAGACCTAGAGTCTGTCATACAGAGTGAAGTAAGTCAGAAAGAGAAAGACAAATACCGTATGCTAACACATATATATGGAATTTAAGAAAAAAAAATGTCATGAAGAACCTAGGGGTAAGACAGGAATAAAGACACAGACCTACTAGAGAATGGACTTGAGGATATGGGGAGGGGGAAGGGTGAGCTGTGACAAGGCGAGAGAGAGGCATGGACATATATACACTACCAAACGTAAAATAGATAGCTAGTGGGAAGCAGCCGCATAGCACAGGGAGATCAGCTCGGTGCTTTGTGACCACCTAGAGGGGTGGGATAGGGAGGGTGGGAGGGAGGGAGATGCAAGAGGGAGGAGATATGGGAACATATGTGTATGTATAATTGATTCACTTTGTTATAAAGCAGAAACTAAGACACAATTGTAAAGCAATTATACTCCAATAATAAATAAATAAATAAATAAATAAAATAAAGGTGAGGAGCCTGAAATCCAATTTCTATCCTTAGATTAAGTAACTTCACAAGTAAGAATCAAAGAAGCTCTGGGAGTTCACACACAGGTGGAAGATTCACTGCCAAATTATCATAACAGTGAAAGGCTGAAAACCTCCTACAAGCTTGCTGTTGGGGGCTGGTTAGTAAGTTATGGCACTGCATTTAACACATATATATTCATGTCTGTCTAAATAAAGAAATAAAATATTGATTATTTTTGGACAGTGTAATAGGTGATTTTTGTTTTTTCTGTTCTGAAGCCTAGGAGCGGGGGGGAATTCACCTTTGCTTCTGTTTATAAAACACTTTCTCAGTGTAAAAAAATGCAGAATAGTACCAAGAGAAAAAAGAGAAATAAAAAATAAATAAGATAAAAAAAGAGATTATGGATGATCTTCATTCTCTTCCTCATGCTTTTCTGTACTTTCGAGTCCATTCTAAGGGGTTTACGATTTGAATTGGAACAACAACTGTTCATATTTTAAAAGGCCAGCCTACCCCCGAAATAGCTTGCTCTTTGTCTCTGTGAAGGGGTCTGAATTTCTGCCACTGGCTAAATGTTTGTCCTCAGGCACCGTGAGCACTGAGGTAAGAGTCAAAGGATCCAAAGTTCAGCATGGGACCTTAGAAAAGTTATTTACTCATGTTGGGCCTTAATGAATCTGTCTGTAAAATGGGAACGTCAGTTTTGCTTACTGAAAAGAGCCCTTGTGAAGAGCAAGTTCACAACCTGCTCAACTGTAAAGACCACATAAATGGAAGAAGAAAACAGAGTCCTGATGAAATGCAGAGGCTCCCAATAAGTTACAGTAACCATCGCTTTTGTGAAGGAAAACAGCTTCCATGTCATTTAAAGATTGAGGGACCATTTGCCTGGGCAGAGAATAAAAGACCATCAACGTGATGGTGGCATTTCTCACCTACTGGCTGCTCCTCCCTGGAACCCTCCGCCCTAGAAAAGGGGAATGATTAAGGTCCCTGACCCCGGTCCTTCACTTAGAAATATTAAAGGACACGGGACACAGTCCTAGTTCTCTGTCAGATACATCAGATCTTTTAAATTCTGACTACAACCCACCACCCAGGCTCATAATCTGACACTCTCAAACGCTCACACCTAACACGCCAGCCAGCCATTCCCCAAATATTCCGGATACTTTCAGAACGCCGAGCCTTTGCATATGCTGTACCCTCAGCTCATAAAACCTCTCAGTTCCTTATTGGACTAGCATCTTGTTCTCAGGCTTTGAAATCCAGTTCCAGTGTCACCACTCCCTATAGCTCCACTGTACCTGGCAGGGTTGTTAGTAGTTTAGTGTTTCCCAAACGCTTGATTTAAACCTCTGGAGTTGGACCAAGTCAGAAATAAAGATAATTTACATGTGTGTGTGTGTGTGTATACACATCACTTACATACATATATGATACATAAACAATAGTTTCTGGATGTAGATAATAATCTGTATTTGCTTCAACAATAGTAACCATGATAACGATGTTGCTGAAGATGTCTAAGTAGGCACTCAATAAATGTTTGTGGTACAAGCAAACAAAGACACATTGCTCCAAAGGAAGGGCGAGGAGTCTGGTGCGGCAGGGGAGGTACTAATAGAATCTCATCAGAGGGGCCATGGACTCACGGGGTGGTCTGCATCCAGTTCCGCTCCATAGCTGAGAATCTGATTGGCAAATCTGTCGAGCTCTTGAATGGTTCTTGGGAACCAGGGCACTGCAACACAGAAAGGGCAAAGTCCTGAGCAGCAGATTGGCAGGACACGGCCAAAGGCCTCACCGAGATCAGAAGCTTGGGACCAGCTCCAATTAAAGTCCATGGTGGTGGCAAGTGGGGTCCCAGATAACCCCCAAAAGTCAAATCTTATTTTCCTTGGAAACTAATTTTATTTACTTATTCAACTTTACTGAAGTATAATCAACAAAACTTTAAGGTATTTTAAGCATATACCATGGGGATTTGATAGACATATACATGGTGAAAGGATTCTCCCCATTCACATGCATCACCTCACATATGTATCTTTTGTGGGGGGAGGATTCTACTCTCTTTGCAAATTTCATTGATGCAATACAGTGTTATCGACTATAGTCATTATGTTTTACATTAGATCCTCAGACCTTAGTCATCTTATAGCTGAAAGTTTGTACCCTTTTACCAACCTCTCCCTATTTCCCGACCCTTAAGCCCCTGGCAACCAGTTATCTACTCTCTGTTTCTATGAGTTTACCTTTTTTCTTTTTGAAGATTCCACCTAGATGTGATACCATGTGGTATTTAACTATTTTTTTTTTCTGTCTGACTTATTTCACTTAGCACCTTGGAAACTAATTTGAAAACACATTCCTAAACATACTCTCTTTCCTGGAAATTTTCTCTGAATTGTCTCAAAATTCATCTCCTTTCCACCTATCGTAGCATAGTGGAGTGGTTTTTGAAGGTTTACTGTAGCAGCAGAATATTTCATGTAATATGTGTTTCAGGCATATTCCGGAATATAAATTAGGTAAAACAGAGCTGTTCTACTGTAAGCACAGATGAGCCCGTGAGCTCTCTTCTCTTGACCCCATCTTCCTATCATGAGTCTCCCTCCCAAAAGGGCCCCCCAGGGACCCCAGCAAAACCGTTTGATGCCAAAGCCAATTTGAAAGCCACTGGTGACATAGAATGGATGCAGTCCGGCAGTTTGACGATGCCTTGCAGCACCTAAACATCTGTGGGCTTGTTCTGAAGCAGCAGCATAGCGGGAGAGAAGATGGGGTCTGCGTTGTGTGACCCACAGTGACTGGGTCCTGCAGAGGGACCCCAGGGCGAAGCCCAGGTGGTAGCTCCTAAATGGATGTGGCCTTCAAGAAAGAAGACACACTGGGAGTGGAGCCATCCTAAGAATGAACAGACGAGGACATTTTGAACTGTAAGTTCCAAGCAGTCAGGAACCAGGCAGGAGTGCCCTGTAGTTCTAGGTGCATGGAGGGAAAGGAGGGAGGAAAGTTTAGGGGAAAAGATGCTGAACCTACAGCCAGTTAGGTCTGGCTTCGAATCTAGGCCCCAGCTGCCTATTCACCTCCTCTGTGTCTCAGTCCCAACTCCGTAAAACGGAGAATAGCAGCAAGAGCAATAGAAAGCATCCCAAACATTTTTTGAGACCTTACCATGTGCCAGACTCTATGCTTAGCATTTTTGGTGAAATATCTCCTTTAATCTGGGGATTGTTGCGGGGTGTAAATGAGAATGCAGGCAAAGGGTGCAGCCGAGTGGCCCACAAAAAGGTAGCTTTCCATCTCTTGCACGTTATTTCTGATTCTGGCCCTGCTCCGGTGGGGCAGGAAAGAACATGCATGCCATCTAGTGGCCAGAGTGGGGAACTGTCTTCCATGGTCTATAATAACGGCATCAGCCGGGAAACAGCTGCATTCCACCAAAAGAAGATGCTTATCTGAATAGCGGTAATAACGGTCCATTTAGAGCCTCGTTTCCATAGATCTGAGATGCTAAGCTTTCTACTTCCTATGTTAGTAATAAAAACTAACACTGAGTATCATTCTAAATACTTTACTTAGTATTTGTACTATTGGTGGGTACTGTGGGTCTCCCCATATTATAAATGAGAAAACTGAGATACAGAGAGGTTAAGTGACAAACCCAAATACACACACTGCTAGGAAACAATGGATTCAGGATTGGAACTCGGGCTTGGATGACTCTGTGGTCTCAGGTCTGGACCGCAAAATCTGTCCTGCCAGGTATGGGGGTGGGGTGCACAGTGGTTGTGAGGGCTGGAGCCTGACGGCCTGATTGTCTTTACAGTTTCCCACCTGAAGGCTTCCATGCCCCTAAAACCAGCCCACTTCTCAAGGTGAGCTCCCTATGATAGTAATAATGGGAACAGACGTAGTAATTCCAGCTAATGCTTATATAGTTCTTGCTGCGTGCTAGGCGCTGTCCTAAACACCTTACATACCGTACCGCACCCAATTCTAACAGACCCATGAGGTAGGAGTTATCACTATCCCCATTTTACAGAAGAGGAAGCTGAGGAACAGGGAGGGTAAGTCTCTTCAAGGACCTCTGCGGTCCCAAAGGCTAGACTTTGGAGTCTGGGATGACTCAGCGCCATGTTCTGCTCACTTAGCATGGGACCTGACTTCCCACTTTGTCACCTGAATTCTCCTCAAGCTTCTCTTTCTCCTTGAATCCAGTGCCTTCCCTTGCACAATGGACCTCTGTTATCAGCACTGAAAATGGGGTCTATTCCCTACCCGAGTTTGGAAGGGCTTGAGGAAGGACATCCTATTGCAGTCAGCCAGGACTCGGGATTTCCTCCAAGACCCTTCCTGGTTCTCTAGCATGTTGTCGTCCTGTTACCTCACTTCCAAGGCGGCCCATCCCCACTCGTTCATAGTCTCTCTTTTGCCTAAAAATTATCCATAACTCTGGCAATAACAGCTGCCCCCAGCCCTTTCCTGCTGCACCCCTTTCTGACTTGGGGGGGGGGCGGCGTGGCCGTTAGCCCTGCCAAAGGCGTTTCCATGATTATGTACTGAGCATCCACTACTACCAGGCACTGGACGTTGAGAGGTGAATACAGAGGAGTCTTCATGCCTGTGGTGCTTATATTCTAGTGAGGGTGACAAGGAATAAACAATAAATAAATTTAAATATATAACAATGCCGGGTAGCTCCTGAAGAAGAACAAAGCAGTGCAAGGAGATGGGGATACTATTTTATATAACATCCTGTGGCTCCAGACCCCAGGGTGAGGGTCCTAGAGACATGACACGACCTTGCCATGGCTCAAAGGGACTGTAATAGCCAGAGTCTGTTCCTAGATCTGTCCCAGATCTGGTTCCCTATTTGCCTCAGGGAGACACAGACGGGTCATGGTTAAGGGCCTGGATAACAGAGCCACACAGGCTAGGCTTGAATGCTGTCTCTATATTTACCCTCTGTGGCATCCAGGACATATTATTCCTCTTTGCGCCTCAGTCTTCCCATAAGTAAAGTGGGGATAATAAAGTATACTTTATAGAAACAACATAAGTTTAAAAGAGTTAATATGTGTGATTTGTTGAGAACAGTGTCTGGTACATAGTAAATACAGACTCATGTTGGAAATATTGTGGGTCCGGCTCCAGACCACCGCAGTAAAGAGAATAGCACAATAAAGTGAGTCACGTGAATTTTGTGGTTTCCCAGTACATATAAGAGTTATGTTTACATTATACTGTAGTCTATTCAGTGTGCAATAGTATTATGTATGAAAAAACAATGTACATACCTTAAATAAAAAATACGTTATTGCTAAAAAATGCTAAGCGTCATCTGAGCCTTCAATGAGTCATAGCAGTGATAGCAAAGGTCACTGATCTCAGAGCACCATAACAAATATGATCATGAAAAAGTTTGAACTATTATGCGAACTACCAAATTGGGACGCAGAGACAGGAAGTGAGCCAGTGCTGTTGGGAAAATCGCACCAATAGACTTGCTTGACACAGGGCAGCCACAAACCTTCCATTTGTAAGAAACACAGAATCTGTGAAGCACAGTAAAGCAAAGCACAACAGAAGAGGTACGTCTGTACTAGTATTATTCAGCTGCAAGCTCCAGGGATTTTTTTTTTTTTTCTTTTTACTCTGCCGTTAATATAGTGCAGGGAGCAGAGTAGAAAGTCTTTCCGCAAGGCCAGGAAGTCAACCACTTATTCTGTTGTGTAACTGAGTGCGTATTTTTATCGCTCAGAGCCTTAGTTTCTTTAGCCACGAAATGGATTAAAACTGTCATTCCCTATTATTGCCATCATTGCATACATTAAATGCTATAGGAAATGGGACACATCTTAGCAGAGTGACTGGCGCACACAGTAAGCGCTCAATCGGGGTTTACAATTAGGATGGGAAAAAGTTTAATGATGATGGTGAAGAAGAAAAAGGAGGAGGGGAAGAGGAGGAAAGAAGGGAGACTGGAGTTTGAAGCTCCTTTTCAATCTGGCTCTGATGTTACCAGGGTTCCTGATCTTGGGCCTCAGTTTCCCCCTGTATAAAATTCGAGCTGGGGGATTCACTAGCCACTGTAGTCCCTTTTGGGTTTCATATTCCAACTATGGAGGGCTGAGGCTGGCCAGGGGGCACATGAAAATATATTGATACTTCCGGTCAATTAATGTGTCGGCCTCGCTTGTTTCTGGAAGTAGAGCCACTGCATTTCTTCAGCATCCAAAATGCATGGCCCCCACCATTTCCCTTTCTCTCACCCAAGAAACAGGGCTTTACTCCGGAGAGAAGCTTTGTTGTCCCCGCCTCGGTTCACAGCTGGGTGTGCTGGCCGGCTCCCAACTGAACGCCAGAGGGCAGCAGAGCAGCACATTTTCAGCTTTGGCTGACTTTTTTTTTTTTTCTTCTCTCCTCCAAAGGGAAAACACTTTGTAGTTGGGCCACATGGCTTCGTTCAGACCTCTTGGTGGAAAAGAATATCAGAGAACTTGAGAGGGCTGCAAAGACTCAAAGGATTCAAGTCTTGACAAAGAGAAGGCAAAGGTCGAAGCAGCTTAGCAAGCCCCAGGACCTAGTCAGGGAGACTGTCAGGGACCCCCAGGGGAGGGGGCACTGCGAGGCCATGGGGTGCTCACCCAAGTCCAGGGGCCTTCAGTGGCTTCTGGGCCCCATCATCATATAGAAAAGGCCCAGAACACAGCAGGCTAGAGAAGTGGCAAAGCT